CGGCCAAGGCGAACGATAAAATCTACTCTATGGCAAAGCTTCAATGTGTATCTGGTCCATCCGCCGCCGTTTGATAGCACATCCTGTATGGCATCGCGATGGTTTGCATGTGGCCGGTAGCGTCTCATATAGCACGCTCATTAAAAGTCCTCCTATATGATGTGCGCGTGTAATTGTTAATTAGAGAAATCGTTAATGCTGTTGTTGAACAATGGACCTCACATTTGGTCAAAACGTATCCAGTTTCTGATTTTAACGGAGCGGACCAGCTAATCAATGTAATTGATCGATTGATTATAGACTACACGAAATTTTTACCAAGTGGGAACAGATCTAGTTTTATTATTTCACTAAGACATATTGTAATCATATTTAAATTCAAGTTTGTTTTATCTGATCATTTGTCTTAACTTAATGTACTTTACCCGACTATCTACTTTTTTTAGATAAATTTTCTTCACGAATACAGTTAAAACATTGCTAACTAGTTGAAAATATATTTTTGCAGTGCTAATTTTTTGTGTTTTATCTTCAATGCTAATGCGATGCTGCGGAGGTATTGGTTTTGTGATGTCTGTCCATAGAAATTCTCAGATCTCACAGGACCCATTTTAATGACATATACGTCCAAAGAATATTTGATTTTAATTTAGATAAATCTGCTATCGTCGAAAAATTGAAAATCCTATCAGTTTGAAAAACATATATCAAATTTCGCTACCGTGAAAAATGGCATTTTCAAACTTGTTTTTCTGCAATTTAAAACTGATATAACATTTGTTACATTCTAGCACACAACCCTATGTGTTAGAATACAATATGAAGTAAAAAACAATGTTGGTAAAATTATATCTTGAGTCAAATCGCAAAGGTCAAGTGCGTGATTCACGTTAAACTTACCTGCATATAATGAACCGCGGAGATAAAAAAAAGTTATACTACGATTATTACTATTATTCTTTATAAGCAATAATAGCTAATATCTATTCATTTATTTGAATATCAAGTTATCAAATCTGAATAGGTTGAAAGCTATAAATCGGTTAAAAAAAGAGAACGCGTTAATGATCAATTAAAACACAACTATATGATGAATGTGTTAAAGTTTTCATGGATTGCTATACTTTTTGAAATGTGTACACATGTATCCATATATTTACTTTTAGACTGATCGTATTTAAGTTATTAATTATTATTTAAATCATTAAGTCGTCAAAAAGTAAAAAAAAAATTTAATATTTTTATTGTACTTTTATAAAAAAAAAAATGAGGTTGTTATTATGTGGGATGATTGTTTACAGAAGTATTTATGCCTTTCAGATTAGGTTCTGAAACATTTCAGACTCGATGCAGAGTCCATCTTCGGAGCGACAGTTTCAGGTTCTTGGTTGTAACTATTCTGTCGGTTTGGCTTGTTTACAGTTTTTTTTTTTTGTTATCGGCTGATAACTGAAAACGTAAAAGTATTTGGTTTTTCTTTTTGATGACTTAATGACTCTTAAATAGTTTCGGAATTGGTTAACTATAGAATTGTTGGTCCTTACAACTTCGTAATACATAATTAATTAGGTTTTATTGATTGACTGCATGTTAATATAATGTATGCGAAAATATTCATGTGAAATTTATCGTGAACATCCCAAACGTGTACTTACCGAGTGATGAGAATATATAAATACGGTTACAGTGTGTGGATACATTCAAATCAACATACGTGCACTCGCATTTATTGTACTTAAACCTAACAATCGTTGAATAATCACTAATGTTAAAGAGCTAAGTACACCAACTGTGCAAATAATACCACAGATATCAGTTACTTATCATATGGCTGAACACGTTTTCGGATCACCTTAAAGGAATCGACAAAACTAATATTACTAACAATAATAAATTTGAAACTTCAGTAGGACTTTCTTTTTCTTCGAGATGTCTTTTATTTCTTTCATGCTTCCCAGTAAATCACTAGTAATAGTTTTCAAAATGTTTATACATTTTAAATTATTTTTTGTTTATTGATTTTATTTTAGTACCAAGTATTTTTTTTTTTTATTGTGAATTTGATTTATATCAATCCCATAAATATAAATATTATGGTCATATTAATTTACACCGCCAGAACATTTTGTGACATAGCTTTTTATGGCTATAGAAAATAAAGCTTATTCGTGGTTTAGAAGTAAATAAATGATTTTCAAGTAATCTTAAATATATATAAATTGAATTTCGCATCGAGTCATAAGGTAGAGCGGCAATTTTGAACACATGAAAAATCAATATTGACGGTAATGTTATTCAGGTGCAATGTGTTAGGGATGTATAATAAATGATCGGGTGGTACTGAGGGGATGAAAACTATCCAAGATAAGAATCGAGTTTGTCATCTTGTAAGTAGCGTAGATCTTTGTACTTTTGTTGTGTTGACTAACAATGTCTATAAAATTGCTTTTATCAAATCGCTGGTAACAATTATTTATATTACCACCCCGGTCGTCCTTTTTTAACCCTACAATAAAATACAGGTGACAACTCATCCGACATTTTGTATTCCATGTAAATGGCTTGTAAGTATACGCAACAAAGTGTTTTTTTTATCACTGTTGCTAATGCCCGTTAAAACCCTGTATCATACCTAAGTATTCGTCCTAAAGATAAATCATTTACTCAGATCTACACGCGTTACCACCGTGTTCCGTGTTTCCAAAAACATGCATTTAAAAAACATACGTTTTAAACTGCGGGTTAAAAGGTTGTTTTAGAGTTTTTTTTTCTCAAATGAAATTTATCTGGAAAGTTTTTATGGAAACGCCTCGACATTTTCTCATTGATATAATGTATTCGATTCTGAATGCATGACGCGTTTGTTTAATTCAATAAATGAATTCAATTTTGTTATTTATGTATGACTTTTATTCACTCCAGCAAGTCATTCCCTAAGTAATTGCACAATCGATTGACATAAATATTCATTGGTACCAAGGTAAATAACATGTTAACAAATGATATATATATATATGTGCTGTAATAAATCACTTTGTAATTCTCAATGCATACAAAACATAATAGTGCACTTATCAAATACATGAACAATTTTATACGAAATCTCATTATTTAATTATTTGATTCGTCATATATGGTGAAGACTAATAACAATTTTCAAAATGTTTAAATGTATTTAAGATTGAATTTTAGTGATATTATCACTGAAACTTTAGCGAAATTATTTTCTAAGAATAATATCTATATGTATACTATAATATGTAACGCTGAATTTTCAAAAATATAAAAAAACATATTTGAATGTTAATAGCTAAAAAATAAAAATTAAACTGTACGCTCAGATTATTGTTCATATAATTATATACATTGAGTATGAAAAGGTTTTTATTTTGCTTTATTATTTTGTGATTGTCTGCAGTAATAATCAGTTATTTCGGAATTATCATTTTCAAATAATAGTTTTGTCGAAAAAGTCATACTTACATATTCATTGAAGTCAATGTGCTTAAAATTTGAAAAAGAATAGTAAATTTTTCCTGAAAATATTTCAAAAATTTGCTTTGAAATGTATTGATATGAGTTCTTTTTTTTTGCTTTCAAATTGAAACTGCCAAGACTCTTTTTAAATGTTTAGTTATGTACGAATATATTATTATTTTTATAAATAAAAAATTTTCTCATCACAGAGTTTTCTATTAGTAATCTTAATTACTGTGAGACTTTATTTGATACCGCTATAGTGGAAACCATAAACATATATGGCTTTAGTCTTAACTGTGCCGTTTTGTAATATTCATTTTTTGTTTTACTTAAATATATTGATGGATAAATTTAAACAAATTTTTGAAAATCTAGAAAAATACATATTTAAAGATCTTAATAATAATATATAAAATTATCATTATGAGTCAATGTCCTATCCACTAACTCGCGTATAACAATATTTTTTAATAATATTAATATAATGTTAGTTTTATTAATATTTTAGTTGTTTTAATAACTGTATAATTTACTATAACAATATATTGTTAAATTATGTTTATCTTAACGATGTTTTGTTTTACTTGTAATTTAATAAATTGATTAAATTGAGTACAAGTAAAATTTCGTATTTTTTGTAAATATACTCATTATTTATTACTATTTTTTTCTATATTGAACTTTATTTTTGCAGTTTAATCTCATATTTTATGAGAGCTTTTTCAAAATTCGTTAATAACTCTTTGTTTTGTGTTTTATTATACTGAATACTTAAAAATATTAAGTATCACATTCATGAAAGCGGCTGTCATCTTAGTAAATTGAAATCATTTGAATTACCAATTATACAATAATATTTCTGTATCAAATGATCGTGAATAAGATGGCTTCAAAAATGTCTTCTATTATTTACGAGAAAAATGATTTTAGGTATAAACGATAATTGTGTAAAAAAACGGTATTGTAACACATAATTTTCAAATTACAATCTTCTTTAAAATTTGAAATGCGCCAAAGAAAATTAATAGGAAGCTTCTACAAATTGAACTTTTACAGTAAAGTTGGGATGACGTCATAGAGTTTGTTGAAAATTACAGTTCTAAAAAGCCGTAATGATTTTCTGATGATAAAAACGTAAATAATATGATAACACTTGAAAAATGCGTATATTTTTTTTTTACATATAATTGTAAACAGATTTCTAATTGAATAATAAACGCACTATTTTTGACTAAACATTTTTTTTACGAATTTTCTATGAAATTCTTTGTAAATCGGTATACAAACAAAAGTGTTGTGGTTTCCTGTTAATTCACAAAGTGGCCAAATGGCGTATAAGCCATTGTAATAAACGTAATGTAGGTAACCAAAAAAAGGGAAGTAATAATGGCTAATGACACGGACGCTTATTCGTCCCAAAAAGACATCATTGTCGGGCGCACACTGTGGTAACGACTTGTGCGTGGGCAGGAAGTGCTTGGGATGATCACACCGTCATCAGTAACTGTAGTAATAACACGGGCAGCATATGTGTGAGAAAAAAAAACACATTCATTCAAACGTCCGTATTCATTTTGCTTTCAGCACCCTGTTCGTGCCAACTGACATGTGGATATTCTTCTGCTTTTCTTTTACCGTAATGTTACCCAACCGCCTTTACCATCTACCACCGTATCTGCGCCAATATATTCAGACATTGCGTAGCATCTTGTCTTGATGCATCACGCAGTTTTTGTATTTTTAAGCTTCACCCGGAAAACAATTTTTTTCGTTACCAGAAAATATTCAAATTTTATTTTATTTTTTTCTAATAATTCTAGCCGATTTATGGAAATAAGTCCATGGCAATCGTCTGATAAATAAATCTTATTGTTGTATTTACTATACTGATATAACAATATCAGTATTGTAACTGTACAATAAGTGTTTTGTGAATTAGTTGATTGTACAATAATTGTGTATCATGATGCTGAAAACAGCCCATTTAATCGACAGCACGACTACCCGACTGGATTATATGAGTTCTCTCGACATAGATAATGAAAATCAGTTTTTTCGTCTATCGAGTATTATTTGTACTATCGGTGAATTGATTTGTAGTGCAATCTAAATAAACACCACAATAAAAGTTAGAATTTTATATACATTTAGGACCAGCGTCTATTGCAGTTGACACCCTCGAAGAAATGATCAATTCCGGTATGAACATAGGCCGCTTAAACTTTTCTCATGGTTCCCATGATTACCATGCGAATACTATAAAAAATTTCAGGAAAGCCACTGAAAACTACAGTAAAAAAGTTGGCATTCATCGACCAATGGGCATAGCTTTGGATACAAAGGGACCCGAAATCAGAACTGGTATATTGGAAAATGTAAAACATAATATCATATACATTGTTGTCATTTCCAGTAAACTTATGAAATTTGATTTAGGGCGTTTACGCCGAGATTGAGTTAAAAAAAGGTGATCAGATACGTTTAACTGCCGACAAAGAGTTTGAATATCGAGGATCGGCCACCGATATTTATGTAGACTATCCAAATATTGCAAAAGTAGTGAAACCAGGCAATCGAGTTTTTATTGACGATGGTTTTATTTCATTGAAGGTCAAACAAATCGGTACCTAAGAAAGTTCAAAAAAGATAAGATAGGGTCAATCCGTACCAAATTATCCAGAAGTGGTTTGCACGACCACCTCATATTTTTCTTAAATTTTCAGGATTTAATATTTATGCTATAATTAGATTATAACAATTTTTTTTTTTATTGAAATTTCAACGTAAAAAATGTTAAAAATAGCTAAAACGTTAAAAAAACACACAGTTATTCAATATTAATTTTTAATAAAATGAGGTTGTCGGGCAACCATTTCTGGATAATTTGACATAGATTATGTCAAATGATAATGAAAATTAGTTATTGAATTTCTAATGAATTTTCATTGTTAACAATATATTATGATAAACAAACGATTTTGTATAACATATTTTACATATAAATGATATTCTCATAAAAATAAATCACCTTTGTTAAAAAATAAGGAATAATTCAAATATGAATTTTGTTATTTTTTAAAAACAGGTAGCAATTATATAGTTTGCATTATTGAAAGTGGCGGATTGTTAGGAAACCGCAAAGCAATCTATCTACCGGGCGTACCTGTGGATCTACCTACTGTGTCTGAAAAAGACAAAAATGATTTGAGATTTGGTGTCGAGCAAGGGGTAGACATGATATTTGCTTCATTCGTTCAAAATGCTTCGACTGTCAATGAAATTAGAAGCGTTTTGGGTAAACAAATAATAATATGAGTATTTTAATCGTGTTAAGTATTTTGAAAACGGGGTGATTTGTTAAAAATAATATTCAAAGTAAGAAAAAATCATTTTTAAAAGTAAATTTTAGGGTTAAAATTGATTAATTAACTGACAACTTATAATTATTTATTATAAAATAAATTTATTTAAATAAATAATACAATACTGATTATCGGCCAGTCAACATTTTATTTAATTTAGTTTTCATTAATTAGTAAAAATATAATTGTAGGTTTCAAATTAACTTCCAAAAGCTATCGCAAAAATCGATGCTAAAAAATAATTTATTTTTTACAATAAACATAATATTTACTATAATTCATAAAAATGAATTCAATTTTAATCTACATTTTTATCAAAAAATGAAATGAAAATACCTTTCTTTGTTGATTTGTTATTTAAAATATTGTTATAGCACGGCCAATGGGGGAACTTCTCCATCCCCTAGGAAAGTAGCATCCCTGGATATGCTACATAGTAGAAATGAAAAATATCTTGTTTTAAATTATACTAAGTTCAATTTTATATATGCTGAAGATGAAGTTGAATTTTTGTTTTGTTTTTTGAAAATGAACGATTTATCTATTTTCTATACTTTTAGGCGAAGACGGGAAAAATATTCTTATAATATCTAAAATTGGAAGTCGTCAAGCAATTAGAAATTTAGAAGAAATTATTAAGGTTTCTGATGGTATAATAATTGTCCGAAGCGATTTAAGCATTGAAATTTCACACGAACAAATTTTTTTAGCACAAAAAGCTATAATTGCTCAATGTAACAAGGTACTTTTTGTGTACAAGAACAATTCTTTTTCAATAATCAAGTAATCGATGTAGGCCGGTAAGCCAGTGATATGTGCTAGTCAAATGTTACAATCGATGATTAATATACCTCGAGCTTCTCGAGCCGAAACGTATGACATTGCTAATGCAATTTTAGACGGTGCAGATTGTGTCATGTTATCAGAAGAAACAGCTAAAGGAGTATACCCTTTGGAATGTGTCAGAGCAATGGCTACTATCTGTAAAGAGGCCGAAACAGCCATTTGGCAAAAACAGTTATTTATAGATCTGTCATCTTCTGTTAGTAAAAAAAATGTACTATGAACTATGTATTACTAAGGCGCTTCCTAAATTACTCATCACTTTTGTACTGGTGTTACTAACACTGAAAATACATATTTTTACGATTATTCCGAAGAAAAATGTAGAATATACAATATGTATATGAATATTTCTAACTTCGATGCGAAGCTGAGAAGGTATTAATTTTACTATGATGTTTTTTTTTGTGTCTGTTACCACTTTTTCTAAGCTCTTACCGAACCGATTTCTTTCAACGATATGTCAAAATATCACAAATCGTATCTAGTCGCATTACTCTCTAAAATTGAAAAAATTTCCCTCATTCCCCGTAAATGGGGGAAATCTCCAAAAAAAATTACAAATTTAAAAATCGTTAATTTTAGACATTTTTTCAATTTTTTTTACTTAAAACTGACATAACTATTTCAAAAATTACCAAATCAATATAATTTTATTTTTATAAATGCATAATGTCTTTACCTACCATTTGATGTATTTTTTTTATAAATCTGACCCTTTACATACCCACAGGGGGAGATTTAAATAGGGTGTGAAAATTCTCAATTTTGTATTTTACATTTTTAACTTTAAAATGCTATAACTATTTGAAAAATGTATGGATCAATACAATTTTTTTATGAGAAATAATATTTATATATACCTTATATTCGATATACTTTTTTTTTAAATTGGACCATTTCCCTTATTACAGGGGGGTTCAAAACTTAAGTAGAACTTTTTAAACTTAATTTTTGAAAGTGTTCCGGAAATACTGACACTTTTATTTATATATCTTAAAATAAAGCTTATTTTATATACTTTATTATGAAAAAAAAAACTTCATTTTGATTCCATGATGAAAACGGACATCAAAGTTAAAAAAAAAAAAATACGATTTTTGTAAAAAAATTATTTTTTATATTTTTAACTTTTTGAAAAATGTATGGATCATTATAATTTTTTTAAGATAATTACTATTTATATTATTCTTTTATGCGACATACTGTTTTTTTAAATAGGACTATTTCCCTTTATATATTAAAAAATATATTACATTTATAAATCATAAAAATTGTAATCAGTATATAAATAAAGAAATAGAAAATGTCATATGTCATATGTCAGTATATAAATAAGGAAATAGAAAATTATGTAACTTTTGGAATAATCCACAAATTTACAATTTAAACACTACAGATTCGCATCGAAGCGTTTTTATGATAGTAATTTTAATCACTGTCAGACATCATTATACTTGACCCAACTATGCCACGTGTCCACTAGGGGGTGGCCCTCAAAAATCGAATGTCTTTTTTTTTTTACGCTACCCCTTAAATTTTTTTTAATGGTCAAAAAAATGAGCTGTGCAAAATTTGGGACCGATCCGTTAAGGTTAATCCGTACCCCCGGGCCAATTAAGTTGAGTCAAAGAGTCAAATTTAATGGAAATAACTGATTTTTTTAAAGTTATTATTATTAAAAAAAAAATTAATTAAAAATTGTTAATAACAATTAAATTAAACTGTTAAATTTGTAATTAATCATTAATTAACTGTCCATAAAATAATAAATCTAATATAATTATCGTACTTGGCATAAAAAATTAAACTTCTAGAATCTTTTTTTAAACGAATATGCGTTTTCAAAAATTAAATGAAAATAAATAATTAAAAATCAACAAAATCAGTTATAACGTATTTTAAGACTTTCACATGTTTTTTACTGTATGTAGTGTTTTTGTGGGCTATTTACTGATAAAGCAACATTGAAGTTATTATTTTTGAATTTCTTGTAAAATTGCCTTTACTTGAGTTTTACTTTTATAATTCTAAGTTAAAAGAAAAAAAAGTTACGAGACATAGATCAGTTATTTCTATTAAATTTGACTCTTCGACTCAACTTAATAGGCCCGGTGGCACGGGTTAACCTTAACGGATTGGTACCAAATTTTGCACAGCTAATTTTTTTGACCATTAAAAAAAAATTAAGGGGTAGCGTAAAAAAAAAAAGACATTCGATTTTTGAGGGCCACCCTAGTGTCCACTGTGTAGGTTTTTTTTTTTTAATTTACACCTCAGTCTATATACAGAGTTACCGTCAATGTTTTGACGAATATATATACTTTTCTTATGGCAAATAGTCAAAACATCGTGTGGCACCCTATATGGACCAAAGATTTACCATAGAATTTTGTTTAATATAAAATATATATATAGCCAATAAAAAGAATTTTGATTAAGGTTAACTTGCCTCTGGATGCTTCTCATACTACCGCTATTGCTGCGGTAGACGCGGCCAACAGGAGTAAAGCTGCTGCAATTATTGTACTCACATCTTCTGGCACCTCAGCTCATCTTATTTCAAGATACCGTCCTCGTAGTCCAATAATAGCCATAACACGAAACGTTCAAGTAGCTCGCCAGTGTCATATTTATCGCGGCGTTTTCCCATTACATTACAATGGTAAGTTATTTTAATAATCAAATACAATACTTATGAATTTTTGCATCTCACTAAATAATTACTCGCTATTAGATAACTTATTTTTAATTTTTTTATTTTAGAACCTACATTACCAGATTGGCTTAAAGATGTAGATCGACGTGTAATATATGCAATTAAGTTTGGTAAAGGTCACGGTTTCATCAAAACTAGTGATCCTATTGTAGTTGTCACTGGTTGGAAAAAGGGTATGGGGTATTCGAACACTTTAAGAATTTTATATGTACCACAACACGAAGATTCTTTTATATTATCATTATTGTAGTCACTTAAAAAAAAAAAAATATTTTAAAAACTATAATTGCTATTATGAAAGAAAAATTTTTTATAAAACTTCAAAAAATGATTGTTAAATGATTCATTATATCTCAAGAAATATATACAAAAGATTTGATATAATTTATTCACTAATTTTACTAATTTACTTTATAAAGATATAAATAATATATCAAACGGGTGTATCTTTAATGAAAATGATCTTAACATAAATAAATGTCACTATAAAATGTGTATAAAAAGTGATGATAAATTATCACTTATTCTAAAGAGCCTAACTAAATTATATTTAATTACGAAATATTTAGCTTTCGATTCTCACCTGCAATTTTTTTCAAAGAAAATTGTTAAGACCATACAAAAATATTGTTTTTCTATTATTTTGTACTTATACTACCATTTGTTATAAATATATTATTTTTTAACGAACACTTTAGAACTATAAACCTCCATCGATACATTTTAAGAACGAAATACAAATGGGGCTGTATTATTCAGCAGTTTGTGTAATACAATTGTTATATTTGACTGTAATGAAAATATATTAATATTTCTCTATCAAACAAAATATATAGCTTTGTTGATACCTAACCTTGAAATGTAAGTACACAGTTATTGGAAAATAGAAAGTTGATGAATGTCGCTTAGTTATTGATTCATTTGTACTGACTGATATAAATTACACCGTGTTGTCAGAATATGACAATGTAATACATAATAACATGTTGTTTAACTATAACGAACCGTTATAACAAAGCCAATAAACATCGATCAAGGAGATCACCACTTCAAATACACCACAGGCATAGGTTGTATTTTTTTCAAGGGTATAGTTTTTCTTTATCGTTTGTTCTACGCACTATCGTTAATAAATATCTTAATACTGCCGACGTGACGTGGTATTAACTATCGATTCGACATCATTTTTTACACTCGCACGTATATATATGTATGTATGTATAACTATCATACATCGCCTCCGGTACCAATAGATATAATATCATAACACACGCCTCAGATCCGCGGAACTGATCTATAGGAGCAGATGTACGATACACAATATTAATAATAATAATAAAAAAATTGTTTTTACGCCCCGGGTAATTATATCGATTATTACGTATACAAAACAGTTATGGTGTGATGTGCTCAAGTTCTGATCTACCATCTAGTAATACACAAATCAAAGTATCATTTAGTGTCTTCTGCAAACGACTGTCCGCAACTGTATTCTTCACTTGATATTCAACACAATTCGTCTGTTTTGTAAGAGTAGTGTTACATGACTTCGAGCGGTAAACGTTAAATAGCAATATTATGACACCACGTCGTCAAATGTAAAAAAAAAAAAAATGGAAGAAAATCTCTATAAGTGGCCCAAAGCCCAGAGGGTCGGATTTTACGACGTCGTGTGCGGGTTACTCCGCCCCAGACGCCCGCTGCGAGGTTAATTTCATAACCAGTGTTTTTTACTCCAGTGAAAACAGAGCACAAACAACCCACCAACATTATAATGAGACCCTGCTGGAGAAATACCGCCGCTGTGTATAGCGAGGTACCAAAAATACTTGTATAATGTTATTACCGCCCATTGTATTATATTATTAACGTGAAACGTCAAAATAAACGATAAAAACTTGATGTACTATTGTGTTTTTAAAAATAATCGATACTCAGTTATGAATTTCGCATATAATCCATCACCAGTATTTGATAAACCCAAGAAGTCACCACTTCAAACGTTGTCCTGTTACTTGAAACACATCACATGAAAAAAAAAAATGATTAGGTGCTGTATGGGATTCTTCAAATTTATTATTGACTATTACAACACAAAACATGATGTGCGAATAATTTTCTCGGCTCGTTTTCAGGTTTTAAACATTTATTGTATGCGATCGTCAAAACTACATTGTAAATAGAGCGGAGGCATAAAAAAATAAAAAACCGTTTTAAGATTAAAGTAGTTAGCGTTGTACTTAATAAATTTACAAATTATGACGTGCTAGACGTGTAAACAATAATTTTGATACAGTGTTCTATAATTTCAAACATATTTTTAAAAATATATATATATAAAAGACACTAATGAGTTTTTAAGTATCAACTAGACTTTTTTCCCGAGTCATAATATAATTTTTGTATTCAATTCATTAAACAATCATCCGCTTGTCGACAAAGTCCGGAGGTATTTTTAAAGCTTTTTTTTGTTGGTTGAAATGAAATATGAATTAAATGTAACATAACTATTAAAAATAGTCATAATATTTTTACTACTGGTACAAGTTCTGTAATACACCGCATTAATATAATTTATTGTTCAAGATGACCGAACCCGTAAACTATACAGTCATGCTGATGTACAATGTATCATCAAAAAACAATACCGCATACTGTTTTGAACATGTTTTGCTTTTTTTATTTTAGTATATTTTCATTTATGAATTTTTAGATTATAAAAACAAAACAAAAATTTTAATGCGCAATTATATTTTATCTGTTATTAAAATATTTATGTTAATTTAGACGTTAAGCAAAAAAGTCCCCGTGATGAAAAAAATCATTCATTATGATTGCTTCTAAAAGTTAATAATGAATGTTTCTATTGAAAACGTGTATTATTTAGAGATGTATCCTGAAGATATAATAACACAGATTGCAGTCGTAAACAACAATTGATTTATCAATATCAATGGGCTTGCACGTAAATAATACCAAAGCAATCATTTTTTTTAAATCTTTTATGTTTGTAATAATAAAAATACATTACATATTCGGAGTAGAGCACCCAGTTTTGGTTGTGGTACGTGCGATAAAGCAAACTAGAAGACTTAACGACTACCCCGTACCGTCTATACAATTAATTTATGATTATTTAACCACACTAGATACATTGCCTTAGGGAGCTAGATTAATTACGGTGCTACGTCTCGAGGAAACAATGTTGTAGTATTATGAATGCGCCAATAACTCATCGTAGCCACGCTATTATAAAAAATGCCATCTATTATAACATAAACCGCATTGAGTAATTAAAACTGTTTTTAGAAAGCCCCAATCTATATATACGTTTTTACATTTGATTTTATTAAAGGGGCTTAATTTAGGCAACCTTTTAAAATTTTACCTAACCCTTTCCATACCTTATCATGTCTAACTATCATGAAGTATTTTGACATGTATATATATATATATATATATATACATTAACCTTGTATTTTAAAATAGTGGAAAGACAATAGAAATAATACAATAAGCCTACTGTTCCAATATATCCAAACAAATTTCAAAATGAAAAATAATATTTAATTTAAAACATTTTTAAGTAAATGTTTAATAAATAAAATAGACTTACTCGGGGCGGTGATTAAACTTGGTCGATTAAATAAATTCTCAATTCAATTAAATATTTTACAGATTTCATCACTTAATTTTTGTCAACAATCATTTTATATTTATTAATAATACTAGTAAATATTCTACTACTGCCGTTGATGCACGTGGCTTAAATGATAGACTGTCCCAAGTTTAACCATCGCCCCAAATTTTGGCGGTATTCAAACAGCTACTATCATAGCCGAGATTCTAAAATTCAAGTAATGTACAAATTGGATTATAATTTATTAGCTGTTTATAATGTATAAAAGTAACATGTTGGTGTCTTAATATATTGGCTAATAAAAATCATGACATTTTAATAACCAAGATCAGTTTACCAAGAACTATATTTTAACATAACGTAGCAATTTAAGACAAATTCCGCAGAGAGAATATATTACAAGAACTTAAGATTGGTTTACGGAGGCATAATGAAATAATATAATAAACTAGGAGATTAATGCGGAGAGAAATTATAGGTAGCTGTATGACAGCTCTAAAAGAAATGGTGGGTAGGTATTAATTATAGGAATGATTCGTGAACACGGTTGGTATGTGATGTAGGAGACCGGTTTTTGAGTATAATTTGAAGATCACTGGGACCATCGTGGATTCCTAATGGCCCCAGTAGTCAAAACTTGAAAAACGAAATATATTTTATATTTTTCAAGAGAACACATTGGATTTTCTTTATTACTCTTTTGAAATGCTTTAGAACTGAAAATAGTGTTGCTTTCATTTTTTCAGCAATTTCAATTATAATATTCATTATATCATATCTCGCAATTTTCAATATTCCTTAGTATCTTTTAACCAAAATATAATAGTATACTGGATATCAACCATATAGCATATTGATTCCACTAACACATTTCAGAAATTAATAAACCTGTTAGCAATACAAATAAATGCATGCGTACTCATATTTGGTATACAATACAAAATATACCAATCGTTATTGTATAGTTTCTTATAAGTTAATGAGCAAATTAGGAAAAATTGTATTAGGAAAATAGGATAGGATGTTCTCCTATGTTTTCTGTTTTTTGGATTAAACCATTTTATAGAACAATACAAAGTTTAAAATAGTCTAGTTCTGGATATTTCTTCAGAGTGATAGTAATACCAAAATAATACCACGAATAAATTGTATAACGGTTGACAATTGAAATTAAATATATTTCATGAGTTTAAAAAATACAACACAAGATTTTTTAAATTGCTACTTGAATCGAATATCTTTTCGATTACGACTTGAAGTGTTAACATAGGTATTGAAAACTTTCAAAGTAAATGTTGTGGGACACATGTCGTTTATATAACTAACAATACAGTTTACCATGAGGATATTTTTCTAGAACTATTACTTAATTTCAGAATAGAGAGACAAAGGAAAGCGAATATAATCTTTATCATATCTTTTAGCAACGCCATTCTGGAAGATGTATGATTTTGATAGTGAAAAGTCAAATGATAATTAAAAATACTTAATGATTTAAGAGTGTTAATTTAAATGTTAATATAAAAGATAACTTTTTTTGTTTCCAACGGACATTAATTGTTTTTTATTTCATGGCCACCATGAAAATATTCTCGGAGCAACGGCAAGTCAATCAAGACGAGACCCTACAGGTTCAAGACTGATGAGTATTAAGAATACCGTCGAGTAGGCACATTAGGTAGGCGGGTTTGTCTATAATAAGGTTCA